CTATACTTTAGAGCTTGATTTATGGCAGAGTTTAGAAGTTTAATTCTTTAATTTTTGCTGTTTCTTTTATTCTTCTTGATATATGGCTCCCTGAACAAAGAGTGCAATCATCAGACATTGTGCACAGAGCTGTGGTCATGCTTTTCTAAAGGGCTTTTTTAGTCATAATTTTAAGGCCAAATTGACCTTTTATTCCAAAGTGAACATTACATGTAATTCAAGAGATAACTTGTAATTCTGGAAGACAGTCTTTCATTTTTCGCTTGTGTTTGTCTTTAAACACGTGTTATACATGTTAAACACGTTCTAAAAAATATTTTGAAATTAAAATTAAAAAATAAAAAGCTGGAAGTTAACATTCAAATCCTTTTAATTATCCTTTAGATAATAAGTTGTTGGTGTGGTCGATTTTGTAGACACTTTTGCAAGTTAAATGTCTGCAGTGTCTGAGCATGTTACCAAACTACTATAGTGTGTTAAAACAGAAAACAACCTTATTCCAACTCATTAAGATCTGAGCTGTCATGGCATAGTTTTGTCAGTTTTGCCTTCTGAAGCAATAACGTGATACAATGTGGAGACAGTCAAGTAGAAATGCCTTGTTTATGTAGATTTCAAAAATGAAAAAATATTTTAAGTCTGAAATTCTAACAGTTACAATGTAGATTGAGTCACTCCAGAGAATGAAACAACACAACACCCTATATTTAGATTTTTGTTTCAGATGATCTGTAGTAAAAAGAACAAATATTCTACTTCACTGCAGTTTGGTGGGTGACTAAGTTTTAAAACTTTTACTGCGCTACTGTTGACACAGCACAAGAAGGTGTGCCGCAAAAGAAATGCTATTAGCTTCATCCCCTGTGAGTGCACCTCAACAATGCATTACCTCAGTGTAATGGGAATTTCATGTTTTAGGGGGTGGAGATGAGGATTTAGTCAGTCATTAAACAATTTGTGAGTCATCATCAAAACATTTTTGTAGAAAATGTTCAACAGAATTTAAGCAATGAACCTTTTTTATTAATTCTGTTCATTAATGCGTCATTTGTAGCATTTTTAATCTCATTTCTTTTTGATGTTTATATATCTCTCAGTTTTGTTTTTCAAAGCTTTCAAATCAGACTGATTTTTTCATTTGAAATACAAATGATGCAGGTTTTGATTAGTATCTTTTACTTGTTAATTGTTTTTTCATCCTTTGGAGTTAAAAGCATGCTCTCACATTTATGTTGCTTTACTTTGTTACATCCATCGATTATTAGAAAGCCACTTATTCCTAGTCAAGCTCCAAGAAATGTAGTCCCATTAATAGGAGCTCAAGGCAGGACTACTTCCTTAATAAGCCACTGGTCACAGGACATGCAGACACCCACACGCACACATGACTAATTAATCTGGCCAACATGTCTGTGGATAGGATGAGGAAATTGGAGCACCTGGAAAACATCCACAAGGACACAGGAAGAACATGCAGAATGCTCCCCAGACTGTAGCAGAACCCAGGACTTAAAAGCTGTTAGGTAGCATTGCATCCGCTGTGATACTGAGCCACATTACTTTTGAGTTTCAGAGACGGAAAAATATTGCAAATATGTTTTAAGAGCGTTCAAACATTGTACTCAAAATCAATCATACGGATTCACTCAATGGAGTTTAATTGATATTTTTAGGCATTTAAAAATGAATAGGAAATAGAAATAGAAAAGTTCAAATTTACTCAAAATCAAGCCTTTCGGTCTTTGACCACAAGCTTTTTCCTAGATTTCTGGAATGTGATTTTCACACAAAGCAATTGAGCAAAAATAACATCCCATTGTTTCAGACTGCAGAAAGTGTATGTGAATCATGCTGTTAGGAAGACACTATGTTGCGAGTCATTTTTGATGCAGTTTGCAAGTAGCTGATTAGGCAATTGCTGTGGTTTTCCCCCGTTTTGTGATATAAAAAGTCAGTCAATAAAAAGCACCTGTTGCTGCAGGTCTGGCGAAGGCAGCTCTTCCGCAGCAGACACTTCCCATAAAACAGCTTTTATCGGTGGGTGTTCTGTTAGCCAAGCCACAGGTGCTGAGAGTCATGATGCAGAACTGTTAGGGGAGGATCATATAAATCAGTGTCAAGCATGTTTATTACTGCTTTCCCATCCTTAAAGATGCAGCGGCCTTCTTTTTCTTGTTGTGCTTTTGGATACTGTGGATGGTTCCATATGTAACGCTGAATTTGTCGTCCTGATGTAATGAGATTTTAGGAAGAAAATTGGAAACCATAAACCTGCTTGCTGGATGAGCTGTTTCAAGTGATACTCAGGGAAATTGTGGACAATACATATTTTACCAAAATGCAAAAGCTCAAACAAGTTTTTAGCACTGTGGCTCTTTTAGCATCCTGATTTCATTAATTCCTTCATACCAATCGAATGAATGGACTGCGTCTAAGGCCAGCTGCAAGATGACAGTTTACTTGTGGTTATTTTTTTGTTTTACTTTCTGTACCATTCATCTTGAGCATCTGGCTTTAAAATGTTTACAGGCAGTGCAGGTTTGTTTTTAGATGTTTTGCACTGCCTTTGTATTGGAGTGTAAAACCACATCTTGCAATGTGTTACAAAAAAAAAAAGAACAGCCTTTCTGAGCCATTTTCTCTCCCATCTTAAACACGGTAATATGAAGACATTATTATGCAAATGAATATTTATTTAAAAATCCATGTTACTGTTCCACTACAGAAATGAAAACTTTAATTTTCAGGTCGCTCCAGGACACTTTGCACTCTAGATCATAAGTCGCGGAATGCTAACAGAGTACATATAGGGTTAAGATGTTTGTTCACCTGTTCAAACAAATGTGCCATTAGAAATTTGTACCACAGACCATGTAATTTGGCACTTATATAAGTGGAACCAGGAGGGACATTTCCAAGGCTAATGAGAGGACACACCAGAGGGCACTGACCTTACATGTGTCCAATGGATTTGTTCTAATGGACACAGGTAGAACCTTCTGATTCTGCAATACTGTTGTTCGCTGGGATATGTTCCCTGTTTCCCATTTGTGCAGTCACAAAGTTTCACTGCTGCACAGTACATGGTTTTCATAAAGCAGTGCAGCGAGTTAGGCCAACACACTTTCTAAGCACTCAGCAAGAATGGAAATAAGTGGCGTATCCGTTTCTTCCTGGGAGATACTGTATGTGCTAAGAATACATCGTGCTATTGGGTGGGGGCTCAGAGGTCCTGGATGTTCTCCGTACCTGTTTGCTTTCTGTGAGATGTACAGACACCACATGTTGCACATGTGGAATTCATCAATGGGTGATGCAAAGTGCATAGGAATGTAAGGTTAACACCCTCAGCTGTGAATGCTTTATTCACTGGGTCAGTGCAGATTGCACCTCGCCCTGTACAGAACATTTTATACTTGTAACAGGTGAGCCATTAGTGCCTCCAAAAAATTGCATGATGTCAAATCAGCTAACATTCCTGACTTATCTCACTATAGCCCGACCTGTAAGAAAACATTCACCAGCCGGCTTCATTTAGTTGGATTATATGTGGGGAAGTAACCTAATTTTGAACCATGATTTTTGCTGCCCTGCATTTTCTTTTAGTTACTGTGATTTTTGTACATACTGTATATGTTATCCCCCTGTTGACGTGAGTTTCCTCTAGGTGCTCCAGTTTCTCAGAGTTCAAAGACATGCTGGTAGGTTAAGTAACCGCTGGGGAAACCGGCCCTGGTGTGAGTGTGTGTTTCCGTGTGTGCCCTGTGATTTCCTGACGTCCCAGTCCGGGTGTACCCTGCGTTGCGCCCGTTGCTTGCTGGAATAGGCTCTGTCTCCACTGCAGTCCTCTACTGTATACAGCGTTTAGTAATTGAATGGGTGGATTAGCTTGTGTACTAACTTCACAGTAATTGTTTCACAGGAAGTGGAAATTGCAAACATTCATAAAGGTTTAGATTAAAAGAGTTGTCTTCAGCTATTTTTTTATTTCTTCCATATTAGATGTTTTCTCTGCAGCTTCAGGGCCAAGTGAGTCTAGTGCTGTTAGCATTTTTGGGTGTCAAAGGGTAATGTAGGTGAAGTGTGTCATGGCTATTTGGTAATCATTCCCTCGGCTGGAAGTAACAGTGAAGAGGTGGATGTATTTTTTTTAACATTAACTCTACATCTTCTGCTGTAAATATACAAAAGTTGCTCATGATACAAGATGATTTGCATTATTTTTTTTTAAACTTGAAAACAAAATCTTATGGAACATGACACTCCAGCTCGGCCGTAATTCTTTAGCCAGGCTTTAGTCATGTGTCAGTCAGGTGAAAGGTTAGAGTGCACATTAATCATTGCAGGTGCTAGTGTCACCCGCTTTTTGGCTTTTCCGGAGCTACAAGGAAGAAATGACTGAACACTTGGACTGTGGCTTAACTCAGGTTAATTATACTGACCCTAGGCAGCTGTGAGTTGTTGCATGGGGGGGGGGGGGGGGGGTTCAGGGGTATGTGAGGGTTTCAGAACATTGTTGTGCCATTTGTAGGCTGTAAACCAATTGGGGGGTCTGTTGTTGGCGTTTGACCAGTTGTGAACAGTAGGCTAGCGAGCGTTGCTATGGCAGCTGTCTGGGGACAGGGGCCCTCTTGAGATTGGTGGTGGACAATAGACAGATACAGCAACATCCCTTTGCTTTTTCATAACAGATGTTCTCATAAAGTGCTTTACAGGGATCAAATAAAGAAGCACAAAGAAGGAAATTAAAGAGGACAAATAATGCAAAGCTGAAGTACAGCATTTAATTAGAATGCATCAGGATAAAAGAGAAGATATAAAAGTGTTTGGTTTTGCTAATATAATTTGGCCTGAAGCCTAGCTTTCTACTTTGGGAAGTCTTTGTTGTGTGTTTACAGAGTGTGGTGTTGTAATCACACATCCATGGCTTCAAGCAGAAGATTCTTTCTTCTTTTCGCCCCAATTGCAACTGTGAGCTGTTGTTTTCTCATTTTGTGTAGGCACCCAAGAATGCACATGAAAACTGGCCTTGTTGACGCACACCTGTACTGCCTAAAAAAGTCTGTGGTTGACTTCTTAGCTGACAACAAGTAAGTATTGACATTATACTTAAGCATCTTTTATAAGCATATCCCTGTTCTTTACTTTTGTGTTTATTTTCCCCCAGTGTTTTGTAGTTAAGGGTAGTATTTTCCACACATTGGAAAAACTACATTCATAAAATAAGGATTCCTTAAAAAGCTGCTTTGAAGGTGGAAAATTAGGATTACAGACTCATGTTGATGTGCTTCCCCTGGTCATGTTCTGTCATTCTGGGAAGCCTGCTTTGCAGGAACTATGTTGGCCTAATTTTTATGGGACTGGGGCAAATTCAAATCAAGCCCAACATATCAAGAGCGGATCATGAAATGATTGATTTTGTAAAGTCTACGCAGAATCTAAGCTTGTGAGTGTTTAATTTTTTGGGGGGGAAGAATGTCATGTTATGTGTGAGTTTAAACTACTCTGTGCATCATTTTATAGCTAGGTCATCTTCAGTTCATCACCAGCATGTATTTGTTTAGAACTATTTTGGCTGGGCTTTAAAAACCCTACAACATGGAAACCTATTTGTGACTGTCTTACCTGAAGGATTTACTTTTGTTATTCAAACAGCTTTGGCAGGTTGACACTGAGGTGCACCTCAGACATAACTGTTTATTTCTCCTTAAGCACCTTGCTTCCTGCCAGGTGTGAAAGTCTGTGTCTCAGAGAAAAGAAATGGAATGTGTCTAGAGTGACTCCTTTGACAACTCTGTAGACAGGCCTTTTTTTAAAGGAATGTTGAAACGTGACCACTTCATTAAAAAAATCTAATAAGGCTTAACTTCAGTTAGACACCTGTAAATACTCCATTGACGGAGTTAGAACAGGCAGGTAACAATATCCAAGATCTACATGCGTCATGCACACAAAGTAAAAATTTGGGCACTCTAAACTGCATTCTCTTTTATACTTCAAGGCAGACCCTGAAAAAACATTTAAATCACCTGCTCAATAAGGACTTTTTTTAACTCACCCTCTTAAAGATAAAATTTTATATTGACAGATAATGATGCCGAACCCTCCAATGTTTCATTAAAGCTCAGAGTCATGAAAACATGAAATGAGAAAACTCTCTGTAAGCTTTTTCATCCATTCTGTCTAGGTTATTTTTAATTTTGCAGAACTACTCAAGTCAAACTTACCATCTTTTTTAATAGTTGGGATAGAATGCAAATCTACTAATGTGTGCACACAGGGCAGGGCATTAAGTGATTTAACCCGTTTTTGGCACAGGAGTTCAAAGGTGCCATGTCAGAAATAAAAATGAATGTTAAATGCTCAACAGGGAGTAGTGAAAGAAAGTTGTCTCTGGTTTGTATCGCTGTTGGAGCTGTTGTGAAGATGTTTTTTTTTTGCCTATAATCCTAGCCTTATGAAAAGTAATCCTTTAAAATCCATATTGGCTACATTAAATTTGAAGCAACAGCAACAACGTTGCCAATGTGAGAAATATGGAAAAGGTTGTGTTGGTTTATTTTTTTCCAACCACTGGGTTAGTTTTGACATTCATACCTTGTAACGTGACATGAAATTGACTCATTGAGCCACATTGCTTTTGTCACTCTTAAAATGATTTTTGATGCGGCTGAGGAGATCACGCTTGAATTAAGTAAGGAAGCAGGTCATTCACTCTTTTCGAAGTTGGCTTGTTCAGTGGGACGCGGAGCTGAAAGAATCGCTAATATTAAGAAACTATCTAAGAATCTAGTTAATATGGTATCTATGAATCTGAAACTTCTCAAGGGCCTGGCTGTTTGGAGTAAAAGTAGATGTTTATTATTTCTGTAAGGAAAATAACTGGACATTTGATTATCACATTTCCTACATTTTGATGAAAAGATTCCCTCGTTAGCTGTCGCAAAAGGTATTTTTTTTATCCTTGTTGTTGTAGCTTAAACCTGTTCACATTTGCTGGCCCCCACATTCTTAAAATGACTTTGGAGTTCTGGAGACTTGCTCTGAATCTGAAACAGGGGCTAGTAATTGCTTCCACCCCTCTTATCCCTGCTCCCTTTGTGCTTGTTAAACTCACATTGTGGGAAATCCCAAACAGCCTCTTTAAGTGGCGTTGAAAATAAGCGCAGGTGACATTAACTTGGGAGCGTATTAGCCCCATTCAGCATCCTCCTTTTTCCTTTTTCCAAGTAGGAATTTTCGCTTGGTTTACATAAATACTCACTGGAGCCGTTTGTTCACTGCGCTTCCCAGTGCTTTGACATTTTAATTCCGAGTCCTCCTGATATAAATATCATTTTCCCTAATCCGCTTCCCAGACGTGGGGTCTAAAGAACTGTTCCCCCCCCCCTCCTCCTCTTTTTTTTCTTCAAAGTGGGTTGACTTTTTTTATTCAAGTTTTTCTTTTCTTTTTTTTTTCCTCTCGAATCTGCTCTGCTGTGGAGCGTTTAAGGAGAAAAATGGACAGAGTAACTGTTGTTTCTTTCTTGGTATTCACATGGAAATTCTAATCTCTCTCAAAAGAAAATAAAAAGGAGAGAGAGGGAGAGAGAGAGAAAGGGGAGAGAAAATAAAATTGCCTGTAGGCTTACATGGAATTTTAAAAACATTATTTGCCCTGATCCTTTTTAACGTGATAGGGAACCATGAACTTGTATATACAGCGGAGCAAAATTAACTTTTTTTCTTAATCCTTACTCTTGTGAGTGAAGTTAGAGGCTTGTAAAATTCTACATGGATATTAGCTGTATAGACAACAAGTGATTACCCTTCTTATAAGGCCCCCCCCAATAGTAGTCATTATAACCCCCACCACAGGCCTAACTTCTAGGTGATACCTATTTGTTTTACTGAAAACAAATATGTGATCTGACCCACACTGACAGTTATTTCGCTAATTAGAGTAAGTGAGAATAAATGATCCTACCCGAGCAGAATATAAAAGAAGATCGCCGTCTCGGGTTTCCACACAATGTTTCACCAACAATATTTATGAGCCAACACCTTTTGTCTGTCTTACTTTTATTTGTTTCTCATTTCTGGTAAGGCATCGCCTGAAAGGGAAACAGCAAAACATTTTTCAAAGTGTTAATTTTTTTTTTTACTTTCCTAAGCCTCAAAAATGTACTGTTGTTAGATCAGGACAGTGGTAACCTTGAAAGACATTTTGGAGCTCATATACAGTTCATAGTTGCAGAACCTAAGGCTCAAATTAAGGCCTGAATTGAATTAAGAATTTGTCATATCTTGGACTGTTGTTGACTTGGTAAAGAAATTGATTCAGATGGGAAGCTGGCAGAACTACATGTGAGTAAAGAATTTCCATGGCGCTCTGAGTCACATGAAAGTTGCTTTTCATTTGATTATCTTGTGTTTCAAGATTACAAGGAGAGTTTTTCTTCCCGTCCCAGTGTGGGTTAGCTGGTAACACTACTAAGTTACTGCTGCTGACGTACAGAGAATTAGTTGTTGTTCCAGGACATTTTAGGGGGTAACTTCAACCCCAGTGAAGAAGGAAGGAAAAATATCTCTTAAGACGTTTTGAAGGAAGGAGCAAAAATGAAGAAACGTGCATCTAAGATGGAAAATGCTTTTAGAAATGTTGTTTTTATTCCTGCATGTTTTAAGATCCATCACATCCATTCGTGGAGAACTGGTTCCATATTTGGTCCGCAAGCAGTTCTCCAGGTCAACTAATTCATCGAAGACCAAAGAGGAAATGGAGGAGGAGCAGAAGAAAAATAACACAAAAACATCAGGTCAGCATCCATCCTGGCTAAAATGATCATAAATTTACTTCCTAGCTTTAAGTGATTGTTTTTATTTTTCTTTGGTTTGTCCTTTTATTTAAATTGATACTTTTCTAGATGAGGTTAAAATGATAAATATTCTATAATGTTTTTTTTCTCCCAAAGGGTCTCAAGCACTGTACAATTTGGAGGAAACCCATTTCATCTGTGGCTAAAGTGCAGCACCCCAACTGGGTGACACTATATGCAGCCATTAGCCAGTGTGCCAGTAGCCCTGCTACACAGCAGGTCACGAGGAGAACTGAGAAAGTGCTTGATCATTTGAATTGAGGAGAAACTTTATAAAGTGCATGCCCAAAGTAAAATTTAGCCAGATTGTTTAAAAACCCTGCACTTAAGATCAGTGTCATGGGATCTTAATGGCCAAGCAGTCAGAATCTCACATTCTCATCCAAAGAAAGACACAGTGCAGAGTCCTCTATCGCCAGACTGGGACATTGGTTTAAAAGTGCTGGACCACAGTGAAGGAAGCCACCTACAGGTCCACCCAAAGCACATACAGCAGTAATGATTTCTTCCCATCACAGTACAAGATCGGGTTAGCTGGTAACACTACTAGGTTTTTGAGGTACAGGGAATTAGCTGTAGTTTTATAAAGCAGAATATGTCTCTTCGAAATTGTAATTAGGAGATAAGAGCAAAGTGCTTCACAAGAATTGTGATTGATAGAGCACATTCTGGTCTTACAGACCCATAATATTTATTATTTTTCTAATTTCATTATATTTCACATCTGTTTTTATACCTTAGCCAGTTATTGCATACTCTTCATATTCAGTCTTCTGCATTTTTGTGGAATTATTCAATTAATATTAATTGTAAGACATTTAATGCTACTTCCTTACAGTTCTGGGGTCCTGGATTTGATTCTGGATTGTGCCACCTGTGTTAATTTGTATGTTTTTAAATTAACAAAAATATATATTTATATCACTTATTAATGTCGTCACTCCATTGTTTTAGTTGCAGCTAGCAATTTACCAACTCCTTATTTCTATGTACA